GAAAAAAAATTCTCTAAGCATTTGTAGGTCCTCCAGCACAATTCTATGGTCAATGTCTGGTGGGTGTTGACCACAGAATTGTGATGGAGGACATAGAGATTCTTAGAGAGTGTTCTTAGGTTAAAAACCAGTGGGTTTTTATTTGCAGTTTTTCCACTCTTGGTTTTTCCACTTTCCACCCCAGCAAATGTGGAGGGCCCACTGTATTATGTAAGAGGGAAAACTTATCCTTATCTACTTTCTCTACATCACGCACAATTTTACACAGATTCCCCTTATTTTCCCTCCCCTCTATGACAAGGAGCCCAAATGCTATTACCTTTTCTCACTGGAAGGTTGTTCCAGACCCTTGATAGTTCTTTTTATCATTTTCTCCACCTTTTCCAGCACCACAACTCCTTTTCAGGTGCAGAGAGCAGAACTCAGCATAGAATGCCCAAGTGTGCTCATGCTATTGATTTATATAAAGCAGTTCGGTAGTTTTTGTTTAATTTTCTAATTACACTCAACATATAATTTTATTTACCACAGCTCTGAGATACCTTTCTTGGTCAGTCCCTGCTATCTCAGATCCCTTTAGTGTTTATGTGAAGTCAGGATTTTTTGCCACAACTTTATACTTCCTTATAGAGAATCACATTGGCCATTTTAAGGCCCATTCTCCCAAGTTTAGAGAGATTCCTTTGGAGTTCTTTACAATCTGTTTTTAAGAAACCTACGTAAATTGGTGTCATCAGCAAACATGGCCCCACCTTATTTGCCTTATGGATTTTGTTCTATGGCACTAAAATGGATAGCAAGAGGTCTGCTCTCCCTTAGAACAAGTTTTAATTTTTATTTGCACAGATGTATTTTTGTTCTCTAAGAGGCACACGAACTCTGTGATCCAGGGACCAGATGTGGCTGGGGCCTTCATGTAAGGAAGAAAGAATGGTGGTAGCCAAAGCAATTCTCTGTTAGTTGCCACTAGCACAGCCAGCAATGAAAAAAAAAAAGGAAAATTAACAGTGTAGTCTTACATGTGTCTACTTAGTAATAAGCCTCACTGTATTCTAAGGGAGTTACAGTCAGAAAGGTTTTCTCAGGCTGCTATAGAATTCTGGGATTTGCAGTTTTGTGAGATATGTAACCTGTCAGAGCTCTGGTGCCACAACTACAAAGCCCAGAATTCCATAGCATTGAGCCATGGCAGTTAAAGTGGTGTCAAACTGTTATTTCTGCAGTGTGGATGCCGCCTCAATATTGCCTACATGAAAAACCTGCAGGAAGCCACTACTGCCACTATGACAAGCACACAATCTCCATGAAACATCTTGTCCTGCAAATCCCCCCCCTGCGCAAAATTAAGACATAGATTCTATAGACAAAATCAGTAAGGCAAACCACTGATTTTGGTAAAGTGTGATACAGCCTGAAAATAAAGTCATACTAGGTGACCAAGACGTACAAAATATTAATCAAGTCAAAGTTATAATTAATGTTTTTTTCAACCCCTAGAAAGCATATATATTTATACGTAGAGCTCTTCAGACATACTGAAGTTACTACATTAGCAGTATTTAGTGCCTTCATTTCTTTAGGTTTAAATACAATTGTTAGCCCTAACTAGAATAAACTCATTGAATCAAATCAAACATCATGTAAAGTCCATCACTTTAATTGAACTAGTTGGGAACTACTTGAGACTAAAAATTGAATTTGAGCCTTAAAATTTAAGTTATGTAAGGGAAGTATACACTATTGGGATAATGTGTCTTTGGATATTTAGTTTTACAATAAAAATAAATCTCTAAAGCACGGGTAAGCAACCTTTTTGAGCCGGGGGCCGGGTTGCTGTCCCTCAGACAATTGGGGGGGCCGAAGCATCACAAACAAACAAACAAATAAATAAATAAATAATAAAAAATTTTAAAAATTAAAAAAAATATGCATGCACACTCTCTCAACCCCAGAAAAGCCATGGCAAAACCCCTGTGGAGATTTTGCCAAGAAAACCCCAAGAACAATTAATAACAACAGTAATCAATATCATCATGGCGGATGGTGGCGGCAGTGGCAGGACCGGCCTGGGCCGGTCCAAAGGCCTCGTGGGGCCACATCCGGCCCCTGGGCCTTAGGTTGCCTACCCCTGCTCTAAAGTATCTAATTTGTTTGAACAAAATGTTTCACTTGCACAATGCATATTATTGTTTTTCTTTGTTTTCTCATAGTACAATTTTTTGGATATTCAGCAAATACCATAATTTTTTTCTCGTTTGTTTAGTAAATATACATCTATGCAACATTAATTACTAATTTAAAGCAGAAAAACTTTTTTCTAGTTCCAAATTTTCCAGAAAAGTAACATAATTACTTCTGCTCAGGTTCTACTGATTTCAGTGGAACTGGACAGTTTCCTTTTATGTGTCTAGCATTTTGGAAAAATCTCATTTTGGAGATAATTTTACGTAATGAGTAGTTTGTATTTACCTTTCATTTTCTTTACCTCCTCTATAATAATGCTCCTTAGTTTTAAAAGCATGTTGGAAGATGAAAGTCGTTCATCATCATCACAAAACTCCTTTAGTTCCTTATTGGCACAATCTCTTTTCAGCTTTACATAATAAAAAGCACCAGAGGAAGCACCAGCTTTGCAGGGTTCCAGCTCAACTCTGACTTTTGGAACTTTAAGCATAATATCAAATTCATTTGGTCTACATATCTGTAAGCCAGACAAACAAAAATAGGGTTATGTCATATCTTTCCAAAACAAAGACAGTGGGACACAAAGGCATCTGAAAAATACAACAATAAAGTTAAGAATACAGTACAGTGTGACAGTGTTTCTACCTAGAGACAGTGTGGTGTAGTGGTTTGAGTGCTGGACTACAACTCTGCAAACTAGGGTTCAAATCCCTATTTGGCCATGGTGACCTTGACCAAGTCACACTCTTTCAGCCTCAGATGAAGGTAAAGGCAAAACCTCCTCTGAACAAATCTTGTCCAGAAAAGATCACTTTGGTTTGCCTTATGGTCTCCATAAGCCAGAAATGCCTTGAAGGCACTCAACAACAACAACAAACTGTGTTTATATCAGTGTATTATCTTGATAGTTATATTGATTGTTCTGCCAGAACTGGCCTATGTCTATGCTTTCAGTAACAGACACATATCCTGTATTAAACAGAGCTTTTTGTGTGCTTTATAAGCACATTATTTACGGTATGTTTTCCAGGGCTTGAATTTCACAAACTTTAACCCACATCAATGTTCAAACCGTAACAACATTATCCTGTGTCAAGTTGACTACTTTTTAATAGTATGAACAAATGATGATGGTTCCTCAAGGGGAAATAGTGATAGAACCAGCAAAATGTGCCAAAAGCTATTGGGAATTTAAACAGAATCATACAAGTTATTCCCTTATCCTTCCAACACAGCTCATCTTCCAGAATGCTAAAACCACTCCATAAAAAATGGGAAAGAAAACAGGGACAGAAATCAGACAGAAGGCCAAAAAAGACAGCTGTGAAAATGGCAGCCATGTATTTTATTCTCTGTTCAAGCACCTTTGAAAGCCTGAAAAACATGGCATCCTGTATTGCACTATTAAGTTAATAAAAAGCATCCTGTTATCCTAAAGCATCAGTTCCTCTTTCAGTACTTCTGCTGTACTCTATTAACAGGACATTATCCAACTAGAGAGAAAATGTAGTTCTCTACCTGTGAAATAAAGTATTATCAGCTAGAGATCTACAACTGTGTCTAACTCACAATGTAAGTAGAAAACTGACTGGCTAGCCCTAACATTCAGTCAGTATATGTCGTTGTTTTGCTGTTGTGTGCCTTCAAGTTGTTTCTGACTTATGGAAACCCTAAGGCTAACCCAGTGTTTCTCCATTATTTTCTGTCACGCCCCCCCTAGGAAAGAAGAAAACATTTCGCGCCCCCCCGTGCGATCACATGGGCGGGTTTGGCCAATCAGGATAGAGCTACTGGGGCTGTGCTGGGACAATCTCCCTCTCTCCAGCCGTAACGGGCCCCCCTTTATGGAGCCTCGCACCCCCCCTGGGGGGCCCGCCCCACTATTTGAGAACCACTGGGCTAACCTAACATGGGTTCTTTCTGGCAAGTTTCTTCAGAGGAGGTTTGCCAGTGCCATCCCCTGAGGATGAGACAGTGTGACTTGCCCACAGTTATCCAGTGGATTTACATGGCCAAACAAAATTCAAAGCAACCACAGGTAGAAGGGAGAAAGGTAAACATGCAAATGATACTACAATGTTTTAATTGATGAATGATTTAAACTACTTCTTTCCAGTATTTCAATCCCTAATCTCGTTCCTCGTTGCATACATGCTTGTGTAAGTGTGTAGTAGCCATTGGTAAATTATTGCCCCTCTTACTTTCTTGCCACTTGTTTTAGGAAAGTCAGGTTTATGGCACCCATCACCTGTGCACTAGAAAAGCGAAGTTTGGTGTGGCGCATTTTAAAAATTGATTTTTACATACAGCAGCAGAGGCACATGGCTGGTTTACTACACAGTGAAATGGCCAGCTATCATTAAGACAAGGCTTCTTAAGTCCTGACAGACAGAAATTCATTTTCTTAGCACTTTCCCTGATATAATTCTTCAGTTACAGAAAAGTATCAGTTGCAGAATTGCTATCTACTATGCCAAACTTAGCAGGAGCCTGCCAGCCATTTCCATTTTAGAAACAGGTGATGCTGGGGCATTCTTGTGTCCAGTTAGTCATGTAGATCAATGCTATACAAGGTAGTGGTCTGCAAGCCATCAGCTGCCAGTAAGTTTTCCTGAAAATAAGCAAATGACACAAATATGGTATCAGACAGTAAAACACTGGGGAAAAGACACTGCCAGTCCACTGCGACACCTTCCTTAAGAAGCAGTGGTCTGGATAATCCATAGCCTTGTTACCCTGGAATAGCAGTATGCAACGGGATCTTATAGCACTTTTGAGACTAACGGTGCAAAAAATGTAGACTAAAGTTTGGCAGAGGCAGCGTAGTGCAGTGGTTTGAATGTTGGACTGTGACTCTGAAGACCAGGGTTTGAGTCCCAGCTCAACTATGGAAACCCACTGGGTGACCTTGGGCAAGTCACACTCTCTCAGCCTCAGGAAGGCAGCTGCAAACCACTTGTGAACAAATCTTGCCAAGAGGACCCTATGATAAGTTCATAGCCATAAGTCAAAGCAGACCACCTCTCTGAAAGCTTAAGCTAATACTTCTTTCTCACAAAGGGGCTCCACTGGTATTGCAGAAATAATCTAGTCTGACGCCGCTTTAACTGCCCTGGCTCAGTGCTATGGAATCCTGGGAGCTTTAGTTTGTTGTGACACCAGAGCTCTCTAACAACGAAGGCTCAATGTCTCACAAAACCAAATCCTGGAATTCCATAGCATTGAGACATGGCGGTTAAAGCGCTGTCAAACCGGATTATTTCTACAGCGCAGGTGCAGGCTTTAAAAGTCTCAAAGGTGCTACCAGATCCCTTGGCATAATCCTGATAGTCCCCCTCCTCCACCCCAGCTTTATCAATCCCGATGGAGGTAGATGGCTTCCCCTCAGATGGAACCAGTGTGGCATAGTGGTTTGAGTGTTGGACTGCAAATCTGGAGACCAGGGTTCAAATCCCTGCTAGGCCATGGGAACCTACTGGTTGACCTTGGGCAAGTCACACTCTCTCAGCCTCAGAGGAAAGCAATGGCACACCCACTCTGAAGAAACTCACTTGGCCATGGGAATGTACTGGTTGACCTTGGGCAAGCCACACTCTCTCAGCCTCAGGGGCAGGCAATGGCAAACCCACTGAAGAAACCTTGCTAAGAAACTCCTCCTAAGGTTTATTGTCCCTCCCTCCTTTTACCTTGACCCTCTCGTAGTAGCTGCCTGTCCCCAGAATGTCTATGTCCTTGAAGCAGGGGGCCTTCTTGATGGCCTTGACCAGCCTGTCCCGGAGGAGGTTGACCAGCTGGGCGGCCTCGGAGCGCATCTCTTTGGCCAGTCTGAGGCGCTCCAGCACCTGCCGCAAGGGCTGCCCCTCTGCCTCCGCCTGCGCCTGCGCC